CCCCAAAACCCCAAAACCCCAAAACCCCAAAACCCCGAGAATTGAGATATTAATGTTTATTTGAAATATGAATTTTAAAATAATTACAAGATATAGTTATCTTGTTTCAAATCTCTCTTGTGTCTTAATTCTAAAATAATAAAATTTAATAAATGGCATCATTTATGTCTCGTTTTGGATCGAAAAAAACTACCGATTCGCCAGCTGCTGTTTAATCCCGCAATCATGGCTCAATGGGGCCAATAAAAGCCAACTCTCAAGCAGTTTAAAATCAGTAGAGACTTAACACTTCCTCAAATCTAATGAGTGCTAATATTGGAGGCACAGGAATGTACGTTATTCAAACAGAAATTGACTATGGAAATAATTCAAGAAAAAATTAGCCAAAATCATAGGCTGATTTATTTTTATTAAAGGAAAATGAGCAACTTAAGGACTAAGTCAAAGATATGGAAACAAACCTCTAAATAAATAAAGAGATAATAAAAAATCTATTAGAAAGTAATAATCAAGCTAGCGGGTAAAATGGGAATCAAACATTACAGCAGGTATTGATCTCGCTTCAAAAAGAGAATTAACACTTACAATTATAAGTCTCGAAGCTGACCTAGTAAAGGAATGAAGCTCAATAGTAAAATTAAAAACCAGCTTGAGAAGGTAGTGTTGGCCCATCAAATATGAAAGAAAGAGAGAGAATCACTGGACTAGAAAAGCAAGTGAGTGAAATGAAGGCACTGATATTGCACAAGGAACAGCTAGCAAATCAAAAGGAACTGGCATATAATGAAGTTTTATAAATATGCGCAAGATATGCTAAAAATGACCAGGCTTTGATGGGCAAACTTAGAGAATTAAAATTCAAGCATGCTGAAGGAAACGGCTCATAAAATAATAACACCAGAACAATGAACACTTAGTAAAATTTAACATCTTAAACAATGATGACTCAAGGTGATGATAATACTGATACTCAAGGACCTTCTAATTTAATCTAAGAAAACCAAAACCTTAAGAAAGAATTGGATTTTGCAACTGCAGAGGTTGAAAGGTTAAGAGCTAAACTAATTATTGATGATTATGATATGGCACCACTTTCATCTGAACTATTTGGCATGAATTCTAAAGAAAGATCTTTTAAGTTGAATGAATCAATGGATAACTAATCTGACTTAATAAATTCAGAATTTATGAACCTCAAAGATCAAATCTCTCAAAATCCACTAGGTAACCAAAGTGTAACTCAATCTAGAAATATTGTAGGTGGTAGTAGAAATCAAACCGCATCTTCTTCTTTTGTAGGGAGCCAAGTCCCAAAGCTAGATTTTAAAAGACTGAAAAAAGTATAAGAGTTTAAGGACTGGTATACCTATGCATCAAAGCTTGAAGATTCAGTAAAATATCTCCGTCAAAGAATTAAGTAAATCGAAGAAGACAACAGTCAGTTAAATACGAAGTATAGAAAAGAATAAGCAGCCAAAGAAAACTTATTTGGCTTGAATGAAAAATTGAATAAGGCTTTGAAAAGAGCAAATCTAAAAATAGCAGAGGTAAAGGATAAATACATTCAGAAATTTAGTAAAAAATGCTATTATTGTAACAATGATATGGAGATATCTATGAACTTAAATACAACACTAGATTAGGTATAATTGACAGAAATGAATCAAAGCTTTGTATTGGCGAATTCAGGAAGTGGGGCAGTTCACGAACAAGAAGATGGAAATGATAGTTTTGGAGACAAGTTAAATGATCAAGAAGATGATCCAAATAATAATGTCAATTTACTTGATAACTTATACGTTGAAGAAAACAGCGCTTAAACAGAAAGTGACAAACTCAGATAACAGCAGTTATTCAGCTAGCAGAAAGTAATAATGAGAGGGCAGGGCGTTAAAGTTCCGAATTAAGCTAATAGAGAAAGCAACAGCAACAAGCTACTTTAGCTTGAGCAAAAATAGATTTTAAGCAGAAATCTATATAACTCAGTTTCTCATATTAGTGCACCAAACAATATCAACATGTCAAATAGCATGCAAAGATTACCCTATAAAATTAAGAAATAAGAACAGCTTTGAATAATAATTTGCAAAAATTTTAATATTTAGTAACTTTTTCCATACACTGCAAACATATATACTATTTTCAGATCTCGGGGTTTTGGGGTTTTGGGGTTTTGGGGTTTTGGGG